CTCACGCTGGCTGCTGGCTACACACACGGTAGCCCATGACAACCCACTGCAGCAAGGGTTGCAGCCTATGCTATCGCCGGCGACTCATGGTAGCCCAGCTCCAGGTTGAGCTGTTGTTCAGCATCTTAGCTGTAGAGGGCAGTGTCACTGGCCCTCATATGTGGGATCCGACCCGGGGCCCTCTGGCATCCCAAGCCAGCTCTTAACCAATGCGCCACTGGGCCAGCCCAAGCATGCGCTCTTAATAACAAGGCTGCTGGTTCGACTCCCACATGGGATGATGGCTACGCCCACCCACCGCTAAGACTGAACTCGTCACCTTGAGCTGAGCTGCTGCCAGGCTGGCTCAGTGGATAGAGCATGCGCTCTAAAGAATAAGGCTGCTGGTTCGACTCCCACATGGGATGGTGGCTACGCTCACCCTCAGCTAAGATTGAACACAGCACCTTGAACTTAGAGGCCACAAGCTGCCGACGGGAAGCCAGATGGCGACTGGTGCCCTCCACAACGAAGACTGAAGAACAACAACTTGGCTGGTCCCCTCCCCCAATTCCCCAATAAAATCTTAAAAAATAAATAAATAAAAAATGAGTCAAATAGTCCTAGACTTAATGTTTCCACTCTGTTCAGCAAGATAAATATATTACCAATAAAAGGAACCTGAATCCTTATAAGTAAATGAGAAAATCTCCCTTACGTGAAGTTATGTGATCAAGACTTTAAGGTACATTCCAAGAGACCAAGTTTTAAAATACTGCTGCCTAAAAGAGAACTAACTCACTCATACCACGTTTAAAGCATTACCCTGGAGTCTGGTTTCTGCTTGTACATGCTTAAACAATGCAAAAGGGAAGACAATCTAGAGTGCTAAAGAACAGAAGTCAGAGTATAAAAACCTATGAAAGCTAAACAAAGCCAAATGCCACTTCCCTGCCCAAGCTCCCTTCCTCCAGACTACTTAAGTGTGTTTTATGCTGATATAATAATACACCACTAGTATATCACAGACTTTTTTTTTTTCACATGGCACCTTTTCTTTATTGTACGTACTTTAAAACGTCTTCATCTCATTGCCCATAAAATATTCCTTTCAAAAAATATTAATCCTATTTTTACAAATAAGGCATGGAGGCCCAGAGAGATGAGGCAGGTAATATAAACGATCACAGAGTTCTTAGCATCTAGATTAGTGTTCTGCCCACTAAACTCAAGTTTTGTAGATAAATACTCACTAACAGGTTAACTGTCTATACACCGGAGGGGAAAGAAGGTAAGTTTTTAGGGTGTGTCTAGATATCTTTTATTCATTTGACTATACTAAACCAACTCATAATACTGAAATAGATTGATGAATGCTAACTTAGAACATAAATACTCAAACAAAATTCTGATTATAGGCCATGTCTTACTTAGATATGGGACAGTTTCCTCTTACAAAATACTACACAAGGAAAGGCATACAATAAATTCCTTTGATAATGGGCTCTATGTATATAATCAGAACTGTGCATACGCCAAAATTTATTTTGAAAATTTACTGGCAGTGCAATAATAATACTTTAAAAGGGATGAGGTCCCCACTTCCCAAGGTTTGAAACTATGCCAATATATATTAGCTATATAACCCTGAGCAATTTACTTAACTTTCTGAGCTTCAGTTTCATTTGCAAAAATGTGGATTGTCAATACCTATAATGCTCTTGTGAGGATATGACATTATAGGCAGATTTTTGGCCCTTATAAACATTTCTTCATTAGTTTAACCTTACAACTTTTTCAGTTAACTAGACATATAAGAAAGCAACTATGATACTGGACTTTAACGCTACATTCAAAATGCACATATCCAAAAAGATTCATTTAGGTCTCATTTACTTCTGTTTGAAACAATACTCCTAGTCTCGGGAAGTAGAAGTTAGGTTAGAGTAATAAAGCCAAAGGCTATTCCCATTCATTTAATACTTCAGTGGCTTATTCAAAGCATTCTACTAATAAACATACTACCAACAACCACCATCACCAGATTCCTTACCTGGAGAGGACTAAGAGTGCAGTAATAGTCTTGAATAATTTTGGGTGGAAGATCCTGTAAAACATCTTCTTTCATTCTTCTCAAAAGAAATGGCAGGACTTGGCGGTGCAGTGCATCCATCGCGAGAACACCTGTTAATAATAAGAGAAAATGGCTTCAAAAAAGTTAGGAATAAATTATATTCACTTGTACAGAGTATATGATTATATTTTTCATACCTGCTTCTTGTTCTCGACTGGAGCTTCGAGCATCCCTACTTGCTAATATAGGTTTACCATATCGAGCAGCAAACTGACGTTCAGTCCCCAAAAATCCTGGCATGAGGAAATCAAATAATGACCACAGTTCCAAAACGTTGTTCTGAATATAAGAAAGGACACCAGTTATCTTTTGTACTGTGATTATTTCCTTATTCTTAAAAAAATGAAACATTAATTAAAGCCCATTATGATGATACAGATGACAGATTATCACTACATTTTTTAAGTGTATGGTATAAGTCTACATTTTAATGTGTAAAATTCAGGTTAGCATTCTTGGAGAAAATATTCTATCCTCTTTGGGGGGAAATTTTCAAGTCTCCTCCACCAGAATAAGCCTTGATCCATAGTATTTAAATCTTACTGGTGAATTAAAGTAGTAAACAGAAGAGCAGAAAGATGAAGATACTTCTGATTCTACTGACACTCAAATTAACAGCAGGATCTAAGAAATTTGGCCAACATCACTATTTCTTCAACAAAGGAAAACCTACAAGAGTTTGGTTATAGGTCAAGTGTGCCCTGTACTTATGGGTCTGAGGAATAGGCACAAGCTCTTTCCAGTTCTACTGCTGAAGTTTTTCATGAAAAAAAAAAAAAAAAAAGAAACCAGCACACTTTCATTTGGGATGCTTTCCCAATGTGGTGTATCCTAGGGTACCATTCCACCCCCTTAACCCTTCCAGATGCCCTCCCCACCCTGCTCAAGCTCTGACTCACCATGCTGGGCTGCCCTCCCACATGATGGACACCCTTCTAATCCCACTTAGGCTCTGACCCCCAACTCTGGGCTACCATGGCTCTTCGGTGCAGAAACCCACCTTACAGCTTCAGAGCTAAACTGTTCAGGTGGGTAAGGGGGAAAGAGAGATGGCCTTTAAGCGAACAAGCAAAAACCAAAAACACTTCTGTTATAAAAGCAATAACCTATTTAAAAATACTATAAAGTTTCCATATAAGTTTAAATTGAAGCAAAGTCTTGATAATTCAAGCCTAAAAAGTCTTTACCTTTTAAAGGTACTTTTTCTTAGTTGTATTAAACTTTTAAATACTTGTAAATAAGTTATCTGTTATGGTTATTAATATTATTAATATTAATATTAATAATGTTCACTTAATGGACAAAACCCTAGCACTTATAATAATTTTAAAATAATTTTAAAGAAAAGTAACAAATTCATAAATAAAAAACCATCAATTATTTCAGAGTCAGAGGAACTTTCAGAGGTCACTTGGTGTTTATTCTCCCACTAACTGGAGAGTGATGAAGGGTATCTTTCCATTAGAGCTGGCTATACAAGCTAGGTATGAATATTTACAACCAATTTCTCTGGAAGATAACAAAATCTCTCATAAGTACCGAAAGACATCTACATACTCATCCATCTCCTTTCTTTTCCAAGACAAACTTCTACAACCTCCTCCCTTAAATTGCCTCTTAACTCAGGTATTCACACTTCTTACTATATGATAATTCACCTCTGAATCACTGCTAGCTTTTCAGGGTTCAATCAGATTGTGGTATAATTCTGCAGAAGGAAAATGGCCAGTGTGAAAGAGTCTGGCTAATGTCTCCCACACTTTGGACACAAGACTTCTGTTTACATAGCCGAAATTATATTTTAAAAATAGCTTTAAAAACCTGGTTTGCTCAGATCCTGTTACATACCAAATGAACCATTACAAAAGCAAGATACTTACTGGAAACTTTCATTCCTATAAACTAAAAAAACCTCTTATTTAATTTACTTCCAAATGCCAAACGTTCTCTCCGCATGGCAAAGATTTAAAAAAAAAAAAAAAAAAGTAAATTATTATAGTAAATAATTACCTGTATTGGTGTTCCAGAAAGAATAATCCTGTAATTAGCAGTCAGTTGTTTTACTGCTTTTGACAGTTTTGTTTTTCCATTTTTGATGACATGGCCTTCATCAAGAATACAGTAGTTAAATTTAATATTTCTAAGGGAGAATAAACAAAAAATTTTAGCACCTTTTACTACACATTGAGAACTATATGAAGAGTTTTTGAGGAAAGAGAATATTAAGTTTCTTCAAATTTGATACTAAGTTTTCCTAACAAAAATTTTAATTCTTACCTAAAGAAATCTATGTCATTCCTCACAACATCATATGAAGCCACTATCAGATTGTGCCTTTTTACTTGGTGCTGTAACCTGTATTTAAAAATAAATAAGATTAGGAAACAGGGAATCTGCAAAGTCTGTAATATAAATTCAAAGGGGGAACTATAGCTACCATCATATTAGGTGCTTTCAATCTGCCTACTAAGCCTAACACTCCCTTCTGTTTACATTTATGACCCTGCTACCTAAAGGCCATTCTTCTTATAAATTGGCCATATTGCCTTAACATAGTCTGATTAGAAAAGAGATGAATACCTGACTCAAAATGTAGTGAACATTTTAACTTTATTTGCCAACACCTCTTCCTTGGAGGCACTATCCCTCTACTATTGCATGTTGTACTGGGGCAGTAGAGGAAAGCTATCAATCGCATGTCCCCATAATCACCAAAGAGATGAAGCATTTGAATCAGGTTAAGCCATTCACAGTACACATTTTATTTTCTGACCATAAAGGGCTCGCGGTTATGGTTTGCTGTCATGACACAAACAAGGCCAGTCAGTCATCTCCAGTATCACTCTCTTCATGATGTGAGACAGATCTCTGTTTACTGTCGTCACCCAGCTAGGAGAATGTGGGCCTAAGACTGCCCACAGTCATCTTACCCCCCAACTGTAGACTGAAGTCCAGCAGAGACCAACAGAACAAATTATGTGTGAGGAGAAAGAGCAAATGAGAGTAATCTAGATGTGCCTGAAACAAGAATTCACCCCTGAAATTCTCAATTTAGTGAATTAATGGACTTCCTGTTTGCTTAAGCTAGTCTGAGTCAAGTTTCTATCACTTGTAAATGAAGGAATTCTAACTAACAGACCCTATAGTAAATTCTTTACACGTATAAGCTGTTAAGCTGCCTGTATTCAAATCTCACTCTGCTCATTTAATTACTTGAATGACTTTGGACCTAAACCCCATGTCTTAGATTCCTCATCTACAAATTTGGAACAATAACATACTCACAACTCATAAAGTTACTGTGAGAATACACAATATATAATTTTACATAAATGTAAAACCGCTTAGGACAATGTCTGGTCAGTAAGTGCTCAATATATGTTCGCTATTATTAATACAGAAGGGCAGCAAATCTATGGACTAATCAGCAACCTATGACTATCCGAGCTTTAAAAGATGAACTGAAATCAACGAAATTCCCTCTTCAAAATTTGTAGTTAGGAACATAAGAGATGTGCGAGTTAATACAGCGATGGTAAAACTAACAGAACTCTAGTGTTGCTATGGTATCAGGGAAGCTAGAGCAGTCGCTGTGGATGAAAAGCACTTCTGGGGAGAGGAAAAGAAGAGACAACTCTTAGGTAAAGTGGGTGGAGAATGAGAATATAACAGATGCTATAATCATAAAACACCCAAGAAGACATAGAGAATGGCTTTAGTTCCTGATACTTTCCTAGCTCCAACACTTACAAAGCCCAACTGATTGTTATCAATGACTAAAGTCCTTGAATTTTGATGAGTCTCACTGATTATATCTTTACAATGTATGTATACTTACCTTTCTTAAGTTTCTATGTCTGACAACAAAAAAAGCTAAATTCATTTTTAATACGTTTTATTCTTCCAAGTTACTTAAAGCAAGTTGTATAGCTCTTACCTTATTCTTTCAGTAGGAGGTCCAGTATAATGCAATGGATTGAGATATTCTCTGGAGCAAAATTTACCTACTTCATCCACCCAATGACCTGTTAACGTTGGCGGACAAACTACCAAGGAAGGAAGTGGCATACATTCTGCCAGTTTTGATCTTGCATATTCCTGGGCCCTTTACAACAGCAAAACACAATAAATTAACCAGCTTGTTTACATTTCTCAACATCTGGAAGCCTTCTTTTAAAATAAGTTACCTGTGACAATGATCTCCTGCTAGAATGCAGATGGACTGTAAAGTTTTTCCTAAACCCATGTCATCACAGAGAATTCCATGAAGTTTATACTTATTAAGAAATGCTAACCAGTTCACACCATCCTGAAAGGTTGAGAAAAAGAGAAAATTTATGTGAACAGATCATAAAAGTTTTTTGTTGGGGGAGGCCGAGTGGCTCAGTTGGTTAAGAGCGCGAGCTTAAGAACAGGGTCGCAGGTTCGATTCCTAGATGGGCCAGAGAGCTGCGCCCGAGCTAAGCTGCTGCTGAGCTGCCAACAAGTGGCAGGATGGCTCAGATGGTGAGAGAACGTGCTCCCAACATCAGGTTGCTGGTTCGACTCCCGCATGGGAGATGGTGGACTGCACCCCCCCACACCTCCCCTTGCAACTAAGATTGAACACGGACTCTTGAGCTGAGCGGCCACGAGCTGCCGATGGGTGGCTGGATGGTGACTGCACTTGGAGCTGAGCTAGCTGCACCCTCCACACTAAGATGGAAGGATAACAACTTGGCTGTTCCCCTTCCCCAATTCCCCAACACTGTTCCCTTTCCCTAATACTCCAATAAAATCTTTTTTTTTAAAAGATTTTATTGTGGAATTGGGGGAGGGGAGCAGACAAGTTGCTGTCCTTTTGTTCATCAGTCTAGTTGTGGAGGACGTCATTTCACTGGCCCATGTTGGTATTGTGATCACTGCCCTCTTCCCAGGTGAGGCAGTTGCTCTCCGGCCATTGGACGGCCGCTCACGGCAGCTCATGCCAGCTGCTGGCCGCTCACGCTGGCTGCCAGCCACTCATGGTAAGCTTATGGCAGCCCACTGCAGCAGAGGCTGCAGCCTACACCATCGCTGGCGACTCATAGCAGCCCAGCTCCAGGTCGAGCTGTTGTTTACCATCTTAGCTGTACAGGGCACAGTGTCACTGGCCCTCATGTGGGATCCGAACCAGGGCCCTGCTGCTCAGAGCTGGTGTCCCAAGCCAACTGTTAACCAATGTGCCACTCGGCCAGTGCACCAATAAAATCTTTTTAAAAAAAAGGTTTTTGTCAAAAATGTTTGCACAAACCAAAAATCTGTATTTTTATAGGCAAAAGAGAAGTAAATGGGTATGATGCTGATCAGAAGATTTTACTAAATGAATTTAAAAAAACTCTTCAAAGTACTCTTGAAAGGAATAGTCACTATTTATATTTATAAGATAAGTATAAAACTTTACCTGCTGATATTTCCTGAGTTCAGCATTGATTGGTACTGGAATTTTATAATTTTCTAATTTCTTCCCATCTAACAATTGCTCCAAAAAGTGTCGCTCCTTGGCTTTCAATTGGATTAATTCTTCTGACATATTTGGAGGGTCTGGAATGCCTGCCTAAAATGATTTTTTAAAGTGTATCAAAACTATTTACTCGTAACTTTTTCATCCTATTGTTATGAAAACTTTTAAGTCTTATCAAAATATAAATGCAGAGAAAAACATAATTCAAAAATAGTATAATTTTAAAGACTGGAAGACAAACAGAGTTTATAGAATGAGGCAGGTGTTAAAATGCTATAATGGAACTATTGGGTCGTCAGAAAAGTCATGATGCATTTTTGCACAGAAAAACAGAAAAATACGTCATGACTTTTCCGACGACCAAATACTAAACAAATACATTTGAGGTCTTTTAAAGAACACATCTACAACTTACTTTTTTCCACACCATGCATTACTTAATAAAGAGGCCAATAAAGTTGTATGGCTTATTTTAAGTGAAATGCTGTTACTGGAGCATCTCAGTTTTAGTTATGGTTCTCAAAATGTGGTTTGCAGACCTTTCAGGATCCCCAAGACCTTTTCAAAGGGTCATTGAGGTCAAAACTAGTTCATAATAAAAGAAAAGTATTGTTTGCTTTTTTCACTGTGTTGACATTTGCACTGATGCTGCAAAAGTAATGATGGGCAAACTCCTTGTGCATCAGAAAGAACCAAAGCAATGGTACCAAATATACCAGTAGTCACTGCGCTGTATTTCTCACAGTCATGCACCAGCATTATTTTTAAAAGCTGGTTTCACTTAGGAATGTCCTTGAAGAGTAAAAATAATTTTATTAAACCTCAATCTTTGAATGCACATCTTTTTAACATTCTGTGCAATGAAATGTGAAGTACACATAAAGCATTTCTGCTCCATATCAAAGTACAATATGTTGAGGAAAAGTACTCATGAGATTGTTTAGACTGTGAGCTACCTAGCCATTTTTCATAGAGCAACATTTTACTTGAATGAACTTAAACTACAGTTACCCTGACTTGGGTATTTGGCACATTTTCTCAAAAATAAATTTATCAATTCAAGGAAAACAACTGACATATATTGTTGCCAATTTAAAAATTCAAGCTTTCAGGAAAAACTAAGCACTGTGAACTTGAAGGCTTCCTGATACAAGGAATTTTCTGTTGGCGATATTAATGAATTTGATTTTTTGCTACTATATGGTGGAATGTATCAACCTTTAAAAGATTTACATAACTCGGTGAACCAATACTTTCCAAATGACCAATGCATATGCTACAGAACATGTATAGGTAAAAGACCTATTCAAAAGTGTCAATTCAATGAATTTTAAAGAGATTACATGTTCACTGACAGAATTTTCGATTCTACATTGCAAATAAATGTAATAAGCTTTCTCTGTGAGTTTTGGTATGCTATCAAAGAATATCCACAATTATTTGAAAAGGCAGTCAAAATACTACTCACTTTTCCAACTACCTATCTCTGAGGCTGAACTTTCTTCATACACCTCAACCCAAGGAACAAGTTGCAACAGACTGTCCAAGAAAATTCAAGAATCCAGCTATCTATACTAGTCCAGGCATGAAAAAAATTTCAAAAAGATCAATGTGATTTTTCTCACTTACTTTTGTTTTAGAAAATAGTTATTTTTCATTAAAATGTTACCTGTGGTAACATCTAATGGGTTCATTATTTAAATGAATAAACCTTTTTACATTTTTCTGTAATTTCTATTACAGAAAATGATAAACAAAAGCTCTTTGGGGGTCTTAAATTTTTAAGTGTAAAGAGGTCCTCAGGCCAAAAAGTTTAGGAACTACAGCCCTATGCTGTCTCTTAAGTTAAAAATTATAAAACACTGGAAACAGAATTTAAATTAAATTAAAATATATATTCCATATAACAGCAGAAATAGTATCAAAAGAATGAGGTATGTTCACTGAGTCTGCATGTTATATTTTCAAAAGGTTTTAGAATTAACAACTTTATCTAGTAAGATAGAAACTAACATTTAAGTGCATCTAATACCATAATGATGATAATTAAAAGAGGCCTTTCTTCACAATGCTTTACAAAGAAGTAACAAAATCTTCAAACATTTATCCTCATGGAGTTTTTAATAAATGACAACCAGCTATAAGGGCACATATAATGAGATCTTTTTCCTAACAATGAAACCCTAAGAGTCATAAATATTGTTCAGTGCCAGGAACACTTTCTGTGAGTATAAAATCAGCAAGAGTTACTAATAGTGAAGGGAATTAGAGTTTCTGTCAGAATCATTGGTTGATATTCCCTAAATCCTTGACAGTATATATTTCAGAAAAGTACATGATTCTTCCTGTGAAGATGTAACCAAGGAAATCAACATAAAGTGTAACAGAAATGAACCTGAATGACATTCTTGTTTTTATTACTATGTCTTCAAACTCACTAATCTTTTTTTGTGAAGTGTCCAATCTACTAATCCCATCTACTGTGGTTTTACAGTTGTGCATCACTTAATGAACAATGGGGATACATTCTGAGAAATGCATCTTAGGCAATTTTGCCATTGTGTGAACATTAAGTGCACTTACACAAATCTAGATGGTATAGCTTACCACACACCTAAGTTATATGGTATAGCCTATTGCTCCTATGCTACAAACCTGTACAGCATGTTACTGTACTGAGTACTATAGCAATTGTAACACAATGGTATTTGTGTATCTAAACATATCTAAACATAGAAAGGGTCTAATAAAAATACAGTATAAAAGATAAAAAGTGGTACACCTGTACAGGGCACTTACCACCAATGGAGCTTGCAGAACTGCTCTGGGTGTCAGTGAGTGAGTGGTGAGTGAATATAAAGGCCTCAGACATTACTGTACACTACTGTAGACCTTATGAACACTGTCCCAAAAGCCTTCCTCCCTGTTCCCTTCCAGCAGGATCAGAAATAGAATATTGAAGCTGTCAGTGCTGCTCCATGAATAGAGATGTGGGCTGAACTGACTGGAAACACTGAGGAGAAACTGGCTGCGTAAAGCTTAGATCACTGTAGTAACGACTGTCAGGAGGCAGTGAAAAGATCAGTAGGAATAAGAAGTCAAGATGGAGAGATAAAGGCACATAAGGGATTATCATGGCAATGTGGTTTTGCCTATTGCATGATGGAGCAGTGGTCAGATTAAGGAATTCTGTGGTATTCATTTAAAAAGAGGGTGTTTAATATGGGGAAGGTGTAGAAATGAAGGCTCAAATATTTTGACTTTGGACATTTGTTTTAGGGTCTGTTGAACCTATCTGGCACAACAGGCTAACTCTGATATTGAATTGATGGAATAAAATTTATCTATGCTTTACATCACTACAACCTGGAAATATTTCCAAAGGACAGGGGCAGGCTGGCTCCACACTACCACAAAAAGCTTTTACTAAAAGTGGCAGTGGCACTTAATTCTTGTTAAAGTAGTTCCTATGGACCTGTGCCCTTGTATAGGATCTCAGGTCTTCAACAAAGAATTTACAGGAATGTACTCTGAAGACCATCAAGCCAGATCTGGGAGGGCTGTAGTGCCCTTTGAATATGTAGTATTGGAGGGACAGGCTCCTCTGTGCTGAAACAAGTAAGTAGCTGAGTGACTGGGATGTAATCTGCTCACTCAAAATTGAGGTGCTGTGAGAGGGAATCTATTGCCAAACCCCTCAGATATTGCTCCCATCAAGAAAAAAATTTCCTCCTGAACCACATATCCTTCTTTTTACAGGAAATTCAGTTCCTTTATAATCTTATAGGACCACTGTAATATATGTGGGTCTACCGTTGACCAGAATGTTATGTGGTACATGACATCTCAAGTTCAATTTGAGATGTTCTTATATCTTCCATTTCACTCATTAAACTCATGCTTTCCTCTACCTTTGTGAAAATGTGGAATGTATTTTAATTTCCTTGTCTATTATTTCTAAATATTATCTGGGTCATTTCTGGGTCTGTTTCTATTGTCTGACTTTTCTCTTGGCTATTGGACATATTTCCACACCTGGTAAATTTTTGGTGGATGCTAAATGTAAGTTTTATGTTGTTAGGTGCTGAATTTTTTTTGGTTTAAATATTTTAGGGTTTTTTTTCTGGGATGTAGTTAAATTTCTTGAAATCAATTTGATCCTTATAAGGCTTGCTTTTAAACTTTGTTAAGGTGGTCCAAATCAGCCTATTGTCAAGGGCTAATTTGGCCCCCACTACTCAGGCAATATACTTCTAAAGACCATACTCAATACTCTATATGGTAGAAGGTCTTTTGACTCAGCTTGGTGGACACACAAACTATTCTTGGCCCTGTGTAAGCTGTGGGAATTCTTCCACCTACTCCTTTCTATGATTGTCCCCCCTAGTCTCAAACATATATTCTTATACATGTGCCCAGATGAATCCTCAGCCCTTGTGGGGACTGCTGGAGCTTCCTCTTCATGCAGCTATTTTCTCTTGGATACTCTGCCTTGCAAATTCTAACCATCTTGTCCTCCCTGCACTCTAAACTCTGACTCTTCAACTTGGCAAAACCATTAGGCTCTGTTTAGGTTTCACTTCCCTGTTTGATGGCCTGGAAACTCACTCCAGGCAGTAAGCGAGGGTGCTTCATTTGTTTCCCTTCTCTCGTGAATCACTATCCTGTGCTGCCTGTTGTTCAACATCTGAAAACCACTGTTACATTTATTTTGTCTGGCTTTCTAGTTAAGGTAGGAGGATAAATCTGGTCCCTGTTTCTCTATAATGGCCAGAAGCAAAATATGCATCACATTCTTGTAATTTTCACATCTACCAAAGGGAAACTTACTTTTCTCTATCTCTAAAATCAAAATCTCTTTTCTTTGCCAATCTGTTATTAAATACTGTTATTCTCCTTTAAAAAAAATTTAGATCCTTTATCACCTCACAGTGGATCTGGGCTGATGTGGGAGCACTTCTATTCTAATCCACATTCAAACAGCTATTAAACTGATTTTCCTAAGACAGTTTTCAGCTGCTGTTAGACTAATTTTCCTAAAACACTGCTTTCATCATCTACTCCTTTGCTCAAAGAACACAAGATGGTTTCCCATTACTCAATGATTCCAAAGATAAAAAGGGCCAACCAATTTAGTTTACAGATAAAATGATGCAAGGCTCAAGAGTTAAAGGATATGAATAAGCCCTAGGAAGCAGAAGATTAAAACAATTCTGGAAATGATACTTGGGTCCTTTGATATAGTAGTATATATTTTGTCATGGTGGTTATTTTAACATTTTTTTATTGTGAAATAAAATACCCACGTAGAGAAAGATATATAAATAAATGTACAGTTTAATAATTATAAAACAAATGCCTTTATAACCATTACTAGGTCAAGAAAAATCTAGATAGATCCCATATGTTCATTCCCAGTGATAGATGGCTCATTCTCCTTTCCCTGAGGCAATCACTTTATTGACTTTCATAGCAATGTCTTTCTTACTTTTCTTTATACTTTTATCATCTAAGTATGCATCTCATATACTTTTGCCTATTTTTAAACTTCATAAAAAATGGAATCTTATGTTGTTGTGTCTGCATGTTATTCATTTTTATTGCACTACAATAATCCACAGTTAACATATCTACTCTACTGAAGATGAGCATCTGAGTGGTTTCAGACTACTATAAATGATGCCATAATAAATATTCTTGAAGATGTGTCTTGGTACACATGTATGTATTTCTCTATGGTATATATATACCTCAGGTGGATTTCCTGGATTATTGGCATGGGAATCTTCAACTTTACCAGATAATGCCAAATTTTTTTTCAAAGAGGCTATCCAACTTATGCTCATACTTAGCTGGTAGGGATGTAAAATGATTCAGTTACTTTGGAAAACAGTTTGGCAGTTTCTTAAAAAGTTAAACACCATATGACCCAGTAATTCCATGTCTAGCATACATCCACACAAAGACTTATAAGTCTTTCATAGTATTTCATAGCATGTTCATAGTATTACTCATAATAGCCAAAAGCTGGTAACAATCCAAATGTCCCATCAACTGTTGAATGGATAAACCAAATGTAGTATGTCCATACAATGGAGCACTAATCAACCACAAAAAGGAAGCACTGACACATACAATAACATGGATGAACTATATATCTAGTTATTCCCTGAATTACAAAAATTCCACCAAAATGCTTTAAGTAGCTTGGTGGCAGGGCTCTCGCTCTTACTTTGCCTCAAGCCACTTCTATTTTCTGTATTTGCCACATACATTATTTCTGCCCCATGCATATCCTCCAGAATTCTCCAACTTTTCTAGTCTGCTTTCTCCATAACTCACACAAACTTCATTTGCTTTACACTTCAATTACCATCTCTCAAATTTATTTTTTGTTATTGCTCACAATTTATCAAATCTACTTTTCACGTAAACTTCAGCATAGAATCTTTACAAGGATGTTTATAGGGATACTCAGGAACAATTCTATTTCTAAAATTATATCAATTCTTTTAGGAACCATAGTTTTATTTACAACTCTGTTAAAAAATTACCCATTAAATGATAAAATTCGTAATGCTTATGACAAACATATTCAGTGTTTAAAAAAATCTGATATGTTCTGTAAAATGGGTTACAATTATTATGAAATTACAGAAAACATTAAGTCCAAAAACCAATTATGTTCAACTTACCTCAAGTGGCATGAGTCTAATTAGTGTTGCAAAGCATTGCGTAGCCATGAATCTTACACTGTCTGTCTGATCGCTCATTCTTCCCAACACAGGCACAACTAAAAGGACAATATATGGAACAATACCAACATCCAGTTGTTCCATTACACCTGAGTAAGTTATTAAGGAAATTTCCAAATGGTTCTGAGGTAGATGTTTTTGCAAACAAACTGATACACCAAGACTGTAACTTCTAAAATGATTCTGCATTTTCTCAACTGTATTATGAGGAAATAGGCTGTCTCTCAAGGTCTATGATTCAATTATAACAGCATTTGCACACTGTTGCTCCTTTGTAAATATTATGCAACTTTCTCATGCTTAAGAATATAAAATTATGTTTTTCACCTGAAGGAGGCTGGAAGTTTTATTAGTAAGATTTTTTTCATTCCAGAAGTTTCTAGACTTCTAATACCAATATAAAGTGAGTTACACTGCAGACTCAGTGTCACTAAAAGATTAGTTCTAAATTTCCCATCAAGATCTTAAAAATCATAAACTGGACATAGCAGGCCCAGTAGGTTCAGTCCTCCTGCAATCTTCAGCATTTCTGAACCTGAGTTTCTACTGATTTGATCTCCATCAATCTTTCTTGCTCTTAGAAATATCTTTCAGGTACTTCAAGTTACAGAATATCAGTGGCTGCCATACCCTTAGCAAACAGCTTGCACTGTATATTTCTAGTATTTTAATACATTTAGTCATTTTCCACCCAAGTAATGAACAAGTTTTGGAAACATAGTATGTTTATAATATAAGAACTACCTACAGAGTATCTGATTAATATTAATAAAACATTGATTATAAACCAAATACACAGATCAGTTATTAAGGATATAGTTCATAAAGTACATTAAATTATTTTTGCCTATTACAAAGATCTCAAAACTAATAGTAATTCTTCAAACTTCCTGTGTAAAACTTTCTATAATAAAATATAAATATACTTGTAATATATTTATAATGCAATATAAAAATACTTCAAAATAAAATGTAAAAGAGTAGTTTACTTTTTGGAACAAGCAGGTTATTTATGTGCATATTTGAATAAATCAATTTTATTTCAGTCATCCTTAAATAAAATGAATATAATTTCTGAATCGTTTGTCAAAATAAAAAAGGATACAGGCAAGTGCTTCAATTGCACCCTCTTGTTTGATGTTGTCATCAATTGCTCCCAGCCATGGAAGAACCTTCTCCAAAAATATATTCATTGTTTCCATGGTAGCTATTTTACTCATGATGCCTACACAACGAGCAGTCATGTGCCTCACTGCAGTGCTGGGGTACTGGAGGCACATATAAAGATGAGGCAAGTGCTGTACCAACTAAAAAAAAAAATATTTAAGACAATCACTCATTAGGGAATCTACTGTTTAAAATATAACTGTAATAGCAAATACTCAGAGATTCTCAATATTCTAAGTGACTCAAAATCCAAGAATATCTCCAATTACCTCAAAACACTGTCAAAACAGCCTCAATCAAAAAACTAATCTAAATCCAAACTAAGGTATTATAAAGCTTCAAAAATAAAAATAAAAAAGAAGGAAAGCTGCAGAACTTCTTCCCTGCTCAATATTCTCTTAGGCATCAGGGAACACTTCATTCTTTCCAAAATTAACAGAGTACACATGAAAAGGCACTTGCAAGATTTTCCGACTGAGGCTGGGAAAATGACACCACACATCAACAGCCCCCTCCAAATCTGCTAGCACTGGCTTAGGTTTAGGTCTACACTTTTTATTCACTAGGTTGAGTGATCCTGATTTTGTTCTAGGTACCACACTATGGTAAGCGTATTTTCCACTTTAACTTCCTGGCTTAGCACAGGCATTATGATCACAATAGCATGACATAACCCATTCTTAATTGTCTGCTGCTGAAACGCCAGGATTAATGTTAATGAGAGCCAGGTACCTGCTCAATAGACTAGCCTTACATCTCAGTTGAATGCATGTTGTTGATCATAGAGAGTAAGAGGATATAGATGGATTCTGTCCTTCTTTACTAATGATAAATCGACTCTCCTAGATTCTCCTTTTTACGTTAGATATGAAGACAGAATTGGAGCTAGCACTCTTCACAACACTATAAATTGCAAAGAGCTTCCTAACGCAGTTATATGAAAAGAATACTACTTTCTTTAATGGAAAAATAGATAATTAATTCTCTAGTCTATTTCTGTCTTCCCTTTGTCTCATTTTTTAAGAAATATTTTAATAGTCAAAAAACACAAACCAGTGTTCTCTATTTGCCATCGACTAGTTTCATCTAGAGCCGGTAACTTTCTTCTACCTTTACACTTACCTTGGGAAGATGTTTTATTATCCTGTGCTATTCCTTTCTTAAAGCTTTATTATTAAGATGGTATGTATGAATAGGACTGCGTTGCTTCATTTCCTGTTTATAACTGTCATCAGAGCCCTGTCCCCACTGCCTTGTATTCTAAGGTCCCAGAATGGGTTTTCTATCATTCATGCAACCAGCTCTGCCTCAAAGCCCAGAAGAGTTATAGTGTCAGTAAAGAAATCTAGTTATACCATATAAAAGAAAATGCAATTAATTACTAGGGTTAACATCAAAGTTGCATTTTTCAAGTCTTAATACTTTTTAATAAGACCACTTGTTTTACTTGCATTAGTTAGTTACCAAGGGATGAAGCTCAGAATCCATTGACGCTGCTGCTGTTTCAAAAACTTGCAGAGAATTCACCAATTCTTGGGCAGGACCATCTCCCTTTTCCAGGAGAGACTTTCCATCTATTAAAATATATTGATTTAAGTGCACATCACCTTGCAAATAATTTTTCAAAATCTAGAGCCCACAAAAAATTTTAGCACCTCCCCAGCTACTGTGGGAAAGTGTATTTTGCTTTTTAAAAATGTTATAAAATTAAATATCACGCCCCTAATTTAAGTGCTGGCGTACTATACTTAAAGCAACTAAAGAAGTTTTATATAATGACCCATTTCAATATTTCTTTCTAAATATGTAATAGAAAAAATAAAAAGCAAAAAATATACAAAATGACATGAAAATAAATGTTTTTACCAACCTTCCATTTTAAAACTTACCAGCTGCTCTGGGATAAAGAGGTATAGGCATTTTTATTTTATAAGGACATATTTAGTGGATATACACTGAATTTGTTACAAACCCAACTTAGGAAAATATGTACACACCAAAATTATTTATGTCGATCATATTCCTCAATGGACCAACCATAGCATCCCAGAGATGTGGCAACCTCACTGCCATTTCGCCACCAAAATGTCTCACTATAGTTGTCAAGGCAAATTCAGCTCCTCTCCGTTGTACCAGGTAAGGTTTCTGGGCCTGAAATTAAATGTTAGTTAAAAACAGAATTTCAGAAAAAAGTGTAATGCATTTGAAATTTCATTAAGAGAGTATAAAAGTCACCATCTAAAAATTCAGTGTTATCATTAACCAATTAAGCAATTATTGGACATATTTATCACAACTATAAATGTTTTTGAATAATTAAATTTATAGGGGAATAAAATCCCAAACTAGATCTTTACATCCAGAGTAAAATACTTTTTTGGGTTGGGAATAAGGAATAGAATATGTGCTGTTTCTAGAGACAGTCCTAAGTCACCTGTTTTATTCTTCTCCATACCCCAAAGAAACTCACCAGCTAGCAACATTAGGAAATAAAATGATCTGTCCTTGTTTATATTTAAGGGATAGAATAAGAACATCTATTTAATTTAACCACAAGATTAATAACCTCTTACTTAGCAGTAATTTTATTATAATATAAAAAAATGCCCCCTCCCAGATAGATGCATATATATCATCCAAATTATACTTAAGTGGTGGAAGAACTATATAAACCATAGAGGTATGAATACCAAAGTCACATTAAGTTTTTGATTAAAATTATTATGGGAAGAATATAATTAGTAAAAAAGCCTTCATTAATAGACTATTTTAAAAGGAATATAGACAATTAGTTAAAATTTTGATTTAAAATTGGCCTATATTTATACATATATATTAAATAGTTTACTGTTGAACTCAGGTTAAGTTTCTAAGTCTTGTAACCAAAAGAGCTCTAAAGTGTTCATTCCATTGTTAGTAATGTGACTGTAAGATTTCTCAAAAACCACTTTTTTGTCATCTTTAAAGAATATCGTACCATAGAACAAGTAGACCAAATAGATCCTCACATACATGAAGTATGATATATAACAGAGGTGCCATTATAAATAAATCAGGGAGGAAAGGATTCAATCTGGCTGTTCATAGAAAATAAATTTAGATCCCTCACATTACACATTTAATAAATTCCAGGGTGACAAAAGTCAGGTAGGTGACAATTATTTGACACTGAAAACCTTATCCTGAGAATAAACAATAATTCCTGAGAAAAGCTAACTTTCACTGTTATTTAACATTTCTGCAGTCACTGCTGTAAGAGTGAATTAGATTATAATGATGAATGGCTTATGTGGCCACTATCAAGAGGTATTCTTGCCTAGGGAGATAATCAGAGTTAAGCTGGTAAAAATTTGAGGCATGAGAAATTTTAAGAAGTTTACAGTTTTTCTGGATCATGTTGCTGGAGTACTCCAAAAGGCTATTAATCCCAGTTCTTTCACTTAAAAACATAAAAATATAATTCTGGAAGCTGATATAATTTAGCTCTCAACCTTTAAGATATTTGTTTAAAAATCAGAGTATTCAAAGAAAAAAACTATTTACCTCATCAAGTTCAACAAGGATATTTCCACTACTTCCTGCAGGAAGATCTGCTATTTGAGCTTTTACTGCTTTCGGGGTAGGACCTCTCCTACTTGTGATAGCAAAAGCAGCTTTCTGATGCCTATATAGTGTAATTATACCTCTGTGCTTGGTGACAGTATGGTGCATTCCATCTTTTTCAGAGTTTGATCCTAATAAGAAGAAAGTTAAATAACCTTTTAAGCATAATGCTTCCTGCTCCAAAAAAGAAACAACACATTAAACTGTTCATTAAGCTTCTATTTTTATAGGTAGGCCAAATAATTTTCTTTAGACAATGGAATGGTAACAACATTGTCAGTGGTTTACAACATTACCTTTTGAATAATTTGCTTTTCCAAGTTCTTATTAAAAAAAAAATCATATATAGGACTAAGGCATGTGAAGGAACACTGGTCCTTGAGACTAGCTTTGAGAGAGCAGTTCTTATTTTCCATATAAATTCTCCAGGTGAAAACAGGTAAGGTGGTTAAGCATTATTTGCTAAAGGTAACAGAGTTCATTTATTTCCTAAGAAGCACTAAATTACAGAAACCAGAGTTTTGTAGGAAGAAATTTCATTAACATTTGATACCATTAAGTTTTCTAGCCCAGTTAACCCTATCATGATGGTCTTGAAAGAGGAAAGGGTTAACACCCATCTCAGATTTCAGTTATCATATATGAGATACAAAGTCATTTATGAATAGCTTATCTGAGTTTAGAAGGTTGTGATTTGATTAACAATATGAGCAAATTCTCTCAAAGTAGGAAAAAGCTCTAACATAAATGGGATTTGTGCTTAAATTATATCTCCAAGTAAATGAAAATAAATTTAAATGGTTAATTCTTTCTCTACCCCAAATTAAAGTTTAGATATATACCTTTAGAATTTTCCTGGCCACTTTGTGTTGGTACTGGACATGTGACACAAGGAGTTAGATATGGGTCCACACAAAGTGAGCTACAAAGGTTTTTAATAATTTTTGAATTGGGACAGGGTGTCCTTGTTGTGCATTGTTGAAGTAGTTTGGCTATGCAATGGGCTGCATAGTTTTGCACTAGTGTATTCTCTTCCTTTTTAATTGTCTCCATTAATGGTTTTATGATAGGATTTAATTTTTCTGGAAGCTGCTGCAAGCTCACAACGGCACATGCAGCAAAAGTATGCACTCTCAACTGCAACACTTGCCACTCCTGGTTGGTCTCTGTAACTGTCATTTGGACCTGCTGTCGTTTACTATCTAACTGCTGTGACACTTGAGGATTTAAATCGAAAGATGACGTGACTTCATTAAAAACAGTAGTGACCTATTAAAAAAAGAGAAATTAAAATCATTAATGACATCAGCCCCAAAATAGCCCATAAACTTCTAAAGGGCAGACGGCAAGATTTCTGTTTCAATTTTGCATTTCACAATATCTAGTATTATTTTAGTATTCAATAAACTAAATAAATGTCTAAAAAACCCCCAACTACACTTTACTCTGACTTAACATTAGCATTATATTCTTTAAGAAAGACACAATCTCTTGAGAAGAACAAAATTACCTATCCCTTAAATATATCTAGTAAGTTTGAGAGAAAAATCACACTCGATGCCCACATAGTACTTTGGTGAAATAAGAAAGATATAAGCAATATATACAAACTGTGAATTAAGGAATTGCAAAATTCATGGATTTTCTTTTAAGGAAAAATATTCTTCTCAACCCCAAAACTTGTAGGGTAGCTGTTAATTAGTGGCTAAATGTTACTAACTGGATTATTTTCATTTTTCTTTGACTTCCCTTCTGGTGAAAATGTCCAAATAATAGGAGGGGACAAGGAAAACAAAATGGTGGACTAGTCACTAATTCTTTAATCACCAAGAGCTGCCTAAAGCTATAAAACTGTGGCATCAGACTACTTTATAAGCCCCATTAAAAGACTATTCAATACATCTTTGTTAACAATGTTATTCATATATAATTCACATACAATACACCATTTAAAGTATATAATTCAATGGTTTTGATTATATTCACATTGCCGCAATTTTAGAACATTTTCATCATCTCCAAAAGAAAACCCATAACTCTCAGCAATCATTCCTCATTTTCTCCCAGCCCTGTGTAATCACTTATCCACTTTCTATCTTTATAGACTTGCCTATTCTGGATATTTCATATGGACTAATATAACATATAATCTATAGTGACTGGTTTCTTTCATTTAGCATAACGCTTTGGCAATTCATCAATGTTGTAGCATGTGTGAGTACGTCATTCCCTTCTTTTGCTGAATAATATCCCACTATATGGATATTCCACATTATATTTATCCATTTATTAGTTGATGAACGTTTGGGTTGTTCCCACCATTTTGCTATTGTAAATAACGTTGCTGTGAACATTTATGTATGCATTTTTGTGTGGGCATGGTTTTTAATTACCATCTAAAGATTGGTTGATGGCTTACATAACAAACATAGTCTTCTTGTTTGATAGGCAACTGCAAATAAAGATGTTCCATAGACAGGGTCAGAACAATATTGGTCAGAAAAGCCTGTAACACTGAAGAACCTAACTTTTTTTTAAATGGCAGACCTAATTTTCCAGACTTAGAAATGATCAATTCTGTTATGGACAAGAGGGATAATGCTGGCCTCTTATCATGAAAAACAAAATAGGCACACAAATAAGGTCTTCTTTTATCATTATAAAATACCAAAGACTTTAAATTGAGCTATATCTGCTTGACTTTGTCAATCTGCTCACTGCAAAGGAACACAATCAAATACCACTTCCGGTTCATACTTTCCATTTTGTTTTATTTATTCAAGTTCTGCATAAAATTTATTTGAAACAGAGTTTCACTACTAGAAGTTTGAAAACACTGTCTTAAATACACTATTCTTCGGTCAATTTTCAATGATTCTAGGCAGCTAAGAAAAAGCTTTCCAATTACCTCAAATTCACTCCATTCATTCATCAACAAATATTTATTGAGTAATACTACAAAATGTCTTCATACACTCAAAAATTGTAGAGACTAATGTGGGAGGTAGATATAAAAGTAAACAAGACAACATAATACATAACTATGTAAGTGCAAGTTGCTGTAGGAGCACATGAGTTGTTTAACTCTTCTTAGATGACAACATTAGTGGACACTTAACAGGAGGTAACACCTGTGCTGGGTTTTTAAATAATGGGTAAGTCAAGTGTTGCAGGGCACCATGGCAAATAGAGTGAGGTAGGGGAGTGGAAAGCAAAACATTGTCCAAGGAACTGAAAATAGCTTATCATGGCCTGAGCACAGGGTGAGATGCAGGAATGTCAAGAGATGAACTTGGTATGAGCATAGAAGGCTGAGGGTAGGGAATTCCTGGCAAAGGAAACAAGAGCTTAGACAAAGAAGTGACCGTGATGAGACACAGGAAGTGAGTGAGTGTGGTATATTTCTGCAAGAGAAAAGCTAACTAGGTTTAAGTGGAGACGTCTGAGAAATAATGAGGAGAAAAGAGAGGAGGAATTTGAAGAAGGTGCTAAAAGTAAGAAAAAAAACCCTAAAATCAAGAAAACAGAAAATAATGTTTTTAAGGAGAGAGGGATGCATTCAGAGTGACACTAAAGGACTTTAGTAGTCTGGTACAGAATGAAATGGACCAAGACTGTCTAGTGGCTTAGAGATGAGTCAGGATATAGTCATAAAGGACTAAGGCCTTTGAATGAGTTGTGGCTATGGGAACAAATAAAGGATAAACATATGAGACGTTTTGAAAGGAAATGTTAATAAAACTTGTGACTGTGAATAAAAATGGTACTTTCCTGTTAAAAAAAAATTCCAGTTTTAGTTGTGTTATTTTGAAGTGACAGTGAGATATCAAGTAAAAATGCCTAATAGAAGAAAGCATAATGGATGAAGAGAAGATAGCATAACACATAAATAAGAACTAAATTGTGAGAATGCTGACAAAGACCATAGGGAAATGCCTATATCTGGTAGATAAGGGAAAAATAGGGATTCAATGCAAGATACAAAGAGTAGTGGCTCTTAGCCAAGGCCAAGACTGATCTTTTAAAACTGCCCTTCCCTCAATACTCTTTCCCAGAGATTCTGATATCCCAGGTCAAAACCACTGGACTAATAAAGTTGATGAAACAGAACAGCAGTTTTCATTGGGGAGTTAAGAGGTTTGAATAACAAAAGCTTGAAGAAGGGGCCATTTGATAGCTTTAAAAAGAAAAGTTGCCAGAAATAGGAGGAAGGGAAACCAGACCATAAAAAAAAAATGTTGGTATTTCATTCCAGGCAGGCATACAAAGGGGAGAAGGGAGGCAAAAGGGCAAGTTATAGAACAACAACAATCAGAAAAAAAACTTTATGAGAACAACACAAAAAAAAATAGCAATTTTAGATTTCTCTCACTGGTGAGAACAAAAAATTTCAACTATATAATTTTTTAATTAGAAAGGGGGATAAAAAATGAAGACTGCTATTTCACAGGGAACAACACAAGTGAAGGGACTCAGTTTCTGATTCTATAACTCAAAACAAAAACCAAAAAAGGCCCTCATTTAGACGATCTAATCTCAAGGACTTACTAAGTACAAAGCTACAATAACCAAGACATTGGTGATAGTATAAGGAGAAGCAAATAGGTTGAACAAATAGAGCCCACATAGAGAACCACCTTATACTTCAATGCATGTTTACAAAGGTGCCAGAGCAATTCAATGGGGAAAGGAAATCTTTTCAATAAATGATACTGGAAAAACTGGACATCTTTAATAAAAACAAACAAAATTCAATCTCTACTTCACACTATACATGAACATTAATTCAATATGGATGATAAATCTAACATATTGGGTTGTCGGAGAAGTCATGATGCATTTTTGCAACGAAAAACATAGAAGAAATATGTCATGACTTTTCTGACAACCCAATAAAAGCGAAAACTAAAAAGCTTTAAAAGAAAATGTAGGGCCGGCCGAGTGGCACGATGGTTAAGAACTCGCTTGGGATGCCAGAGGGCCCCGGTTCGGATCCCACATATGAGGGCCAGTGACACTGCCCTCCACAGCTAAGATGCTGAACAACAGCTCAACCTGGAGCTGGGCTGCCGTGAGTCGCCGGCGACGGCGTGGGCTGCAGTCCCTGTGGCAGTGGATTGCCATGGGCTACCGTGTGTGGCCAGCAGCCAGCGTGAGCGGCCAGCAGCCGCAGTGAGCGGCCGTCCAGAAGCCGGCGACTGATCTGCCTCGCCAGAGAAGAGCGCAATGATGGTGCCAACTTGGGCCAGTGAAGCAACGTCCTCCACAACTAGACTGAAGAACAAAACGACAGCAACTTGCCTGTTCCCCTTTCCACAATTCCCCAGCACTGTTCCCATCCCCCCAATTTCCCAATAAAAATCTTTAAAAAAAAAAAAGAAAATGTATGTGAATACCTTCATCACTTGTGGATAAGAAAAGGTACCTTACAGGTCACAGAACACAATAACCATAAAAGAAAACTGATAAATTAGTCTTCATCAAAATTAAAAATAAGTGCTCATCTAAAGACACCATTAAGAAAATGAAAAGGCGGGCCGGCCGAGTGGCTCAGTTGGTTAAGAACTTGCTCAAGAGTGTGAGCTCTGAGCAACAGCAGTTCGATGCCGGCCCGAGCTGAGCTGCCACTGAGCTACCAACTGGTGGCAGGATGGCTCAGCCAAAAAAAGAAAATGAAAAGGCAAGCCACACACTGGGAGAAAATACTTGGAAAGCATCCATTGATATCCAGAATATATAAAAACTACATCTCAATATAAAAAGACAACCTAATTAAAAATAGACAAAAGATTTAAACAGACACTTCAGAGAGGAACACCTACAAATGGCCAATATGACATAAAGTGTTGAACATATTAGTCATCAAGAAAACAAATTAAAACCACAATGACACTATCAAACAACCACTAGAATGGCAAAAATTAAAAGTAGTGAGCATAGCAGATGTTGGTGATGATGTGGAACAACCAGAATGCTCACATATTATTGGTTAGAAGGTAAAATGATATAGCTACTTTAGGAAAAGGTCTGCAATTTTTAAAAAATGTTAAATAAACACCTACCTTATGACCCAGCAATTCCACTCCTATGTATTAACCCAAGAGATATGAAAATATATTATCTACAAAGACTTGTACACAAATGTGTATAGCAGCTGTTCATAATAGCCAAAAACTTGGAACAGCCCATATGTTTATCAATAGAAGGACTTAAACTAATTGTGGTATATTTATACAATGAGATAAAATTCAGCAACAAAAAAGAATGAATTATTGATACATATAACAACAGGGATAAATTTTAAATACATCATGTTGAAAAAAATCCTTATACCAAACGGCACAGAGTATATGATTCCATTTATATGAAATTCTAAAACAGGCAAAAAGTAATCTATGGTGGAGAAAAAAATCAGAAAAATGTTACTTGAGGCAGGGAGAGGCAGGGATTGACTGGGAAGTGGTGATGGTACTGTCTGTATCCTGAAAGGGGTTGGGTTTCATAGTATGCATTTGTTAAAATTCATCAAATGGTCCATTTAAAGTTTGTGCACTTTATATAAATTTTAACTCAAAAAAGAACAAAAAAAATAAAATACTGAATTTTAGCTAATTTATATACATACTGAAGTTTACTGATATCTGCAACTTAGAAATGCATCAAAAATATAAGATGGATTGATGACTGGATAGAGGGGTAGACAGTTGCACATATATATGATAAAGCAAATTTAGTAAATTGCTAACTGTGGAATCTAGTTAGTAGGTATATCAATGTTCACTGTGTAATTTTCTTACCTTTTATGTTTGAATATTTTCAATATAAGTTGGGAGAGGGGAGGAAAAATACTCAAGAACTATAGAAGCAGTTTTTTCTCTACTTTGCCAGTCTTAAGCAAGACTGAGAAATGACAAAAAATGTAACAGCTTTTGTAATAAAAGTGCATTGGTTTGTCAGAATCTGAAACTTAAAAAAAAAATTCTGTCCCCATCCTCTTATTTCAAGAAAAGTCAATACAATGAAATAACCTTTCGAAAGGGTAGGGATGATAGGATATCAAGCCACAGATAGAGTCAACGAATTAGTGTTTTTGTGGTAAACACGATATGATAAATTTCTAATCTTTATTTCATGCTCTATCTAAAATTAAGAAAGTTACTTCTTTACTCACCAGATCATTAGCTTGATCTATTGTAAAAACACTGTTGTTTACTCTATTACCAACTTCAATCTGTGCATCAGCTAATGATGAAATAAGCTGTTTACACTCATTCTGCATTCGTGTGAATGGAACGGCAATTTCATCATAATATAAATGTTCTGAAAGGATATCAAGTAAACGTGGCTGCACAGCTAGGGTAACAGCTTTACACTCCTAAAATATAACAGACAACAAATATTCAGGGCAAAATATAAACATAATTCTACAGATACATAAATCTTCACTTGCCAAGTTTTAAATTCCTATTGATTTTTGCATCTATGGAATCTATGTTCTGTTATCTCCCAGAACAACACAGTTAGTTGCACAGAGAAAAGGTATCACACTCAAACTACTCTAAAATTTAATATGAATGACTACAGAACATGCACATGGAACTATTACAATTTCATTAAATTTTCCACCTAATTATTCTTACTTTACTCTGAATTTATTCCAAGCTTACATATATAGCACAGATTTAAAAATATATAACTAAATTTAAAAATATATAACTGTAAAAAGAAATCAGTCAGATAAGAACACTTAGCATGCACTAAAAATGTTATTTAAAAACTCATTATTAGATTTCTTAACAATGGAACCCATAGCTTCACATGCCATACCGTAGAAACAGATATATAATTTAAAAGCTACTTACCTGCCCCCAAATTTAACTAACCCTTCCCACTCTCTCTGGTTGTTGCCTGCCCCAACCAGAGGGGGAATGGCCTCAGTGGTGAGCCATGAGGGGTTCTGTGGGATCTGGGTGATCAGCCTGGGCTTCACAGAGTAAGTCCAGAGAAGCTCTGTGAGGGTCCAGAAACCGAACTGTCAACACTTGCTGCTGAGTCTGAGAGGCACAAAAACACAGCATCACTGCCTCTCCAGCACACCGAGTCCTGCCTAAAAACAGAAGAGCTTTGCTTCTTTCCAGAAGCAAAGCTTGGGTCTCAGTTGCAATAGAGCATGGCTCAATTACTTTTAGACACAGCTCTGACAAACTGCTAAGAGGCAGTAACAAGCAACTCTCACAGCAAGTGCAGACAGTTAAATTTCCAGAATTCCAGTCAATGGAATAAACAAAGCCAGCAGGAAGTTTCTTTAATTTACAGAAGCAAGTCTTATACAAAATCATACATCTTACTAGAAGTTAAAGGTTATAGGGGCTACAAGGGCATGGCTTATTTGGAAACATAAAGATTTTGATTTAAATGTGCAGATTATTCTTCCTGTGACTAAAAATTCTGCCCTTGCTAGACTATCCATATAAATGGATCTCTAGCACTCAAAGCCTCTTATCTTTGGTATTTTTCAGTGATAATCTGAGAGAGAAATAGAGGAATGAATGACCAACAGCTTCCATACATACACACGTTTTTTTAAGAGGGACATTTCTTAATAGATTGTAGGGTCAAGAGCAAATATTAAACATAGTAGGCATAACCAGCAGTGTCAAGTATGAGACTGGGGTTCTAAGAAAAAAATCCAGGGTTAAAGGCAAATGGGAGAGAAACAATGTTTCAATGTACTTTGGAGTGCTTTTCTATAACTGGATTTTTATACAGAGAAAACTTTCACTTTTCTGTTTATAAAATATAATTAAAATAATCCTAACAGCTAATGAAAATTGGTTTACTTAGTGTGATTTCATTACTTTTTGGGCAAAATCTTACCTTTTGTAAAGCAGCCCATTCACAGATTACCAAAGCAACACTAATTCTCTGTAAGGCAGATTTGGAGTTCAAATGGAAGAGTAGTAACTGGCCAAGGGATTCAGCTGGTTTAATTTCCTGGGTTACTACATTTACACCTGGATCACAAATACAGCAACAAAGTGCTCCTAACAACCTAAGGGAGAGAAAAAGAAGTTACTATAAAAATCACTTGAAGTAAAGTTTCTCTTAAGTTGAAGCTGAAACTTTTCCCAAGGAAGACATAACTCCAATCTTATCTTCATAAAAATATACAAATCCTACTTAAAACTTCAAAAAATTAAGTTTTCTTACACTTTCATTTTTTCTTACTTTGTAATTAGCATGATGGAGGAAGAACTGACAGACACATTAGAGGAATCTTTGGGTAAATGACTTCTGAATTTGTGTATACTCACTTGGCTGCCATCATTCTGGCCCGCATAACCACAAAATCCCTGGTGGCAGGGTCTTCCATGATGGTGTCTGCACCTGCAATGTACTCCTGAAGTACTTCTTTACTCTGGCTTTGGCCTTGGCGTACCTTACCACCTGTTTTTTCCTAGAGGGAATGAAGAAAAAAAAGCCCAAAAAACCCAACAATTAAAGATTAATCATTAAAGTTGAATAGGAACATCACAAATACTCTCATTTGTTATTATCTCAGTAAAAAACAGTTCTTTTCACAAAATTTTAATGGATAAAAATTACTATGCATTTTGTCAAGATCCTAATTTTTTCCTTACATTAATGAAATCACACCTATAATAAAGCAATACAGATTTCTTACATGGTTACCATACTAATAATTCTGAGCTGAACATACAAGTATAGTATGTGCCTCTACATTTACCTTGGCTCTAGCTTTTACTTCCAGCAACATATTTAAATCAATAGGTAAATGTGAAGGCTGCATCATTAAACAAAGCCAAGCACCCATCCATGGACAAGCAGCTGCTACCACGTACTGAACTGAAGCCTTGCTCAACAATTCCATCCAAACCTACAGAGTGAAAAGAGAACATGAAAGTGAAATTTTTCTAGTAACGCCTAATAAAACCTAATACTTACACTTAGAGATACTGAATTGAAAACAATAATTCAGAAATCGCATAGAGATTAATTTTAAAATTCAATATAAAGGCCTATTTTTAAAATACTGTTTTTGGTGGTTTGTACACTAAAAAAGGTAATAAAAATAAAATTTTGAAAAAAGGAATACAAAAAATTGTCTTCAGTATTTTATGAAAGTCATTTAAAATAAAAGGTACCCATAAAAGAGTTGTCAAACTCTCATTAAGTCACTGAAATCCTTTACATATATCATAAAGCTCAATATTAATACAGTCCTATATTATATCCTCTGTTAACTAAATATCCCAATAAATATCGTAGTATAAATTAAGAACAGTATAAGTCTTAATTCATGATCTTACTCAGTAAGGTACTTTTCTTGATGCCCAACATTTAATGGGCTAGGAACAGCATGTAGAAATAACACCACTGTTAATCTAAGGCTGTTAGCAACGAGCCACCTCAGAGGCCAGTAATTGAAGACTAATTTAATAGGTTTTGAGGGTACAACAATGCCATTTACCCCCATAAATATTATTAATTATATCACATGGTTCTTCTTTAAAGATTCCAACACATACAACCAATCTTGCTTAGTAAGGGGGAAAAGTACAAATTTAAACTATGAAAATCAGGCTATATATTACCAACAAATCACAAAAGATACTTTGCAGGATCAATAAGCATTCTGATAAGTAGCAAAATGAGTGATGGAGAAAAGCAATCTTTTCTTTATTTTATTTTCTGTAATGAGGCTATCAGAAAAGGCTTAAAACACTTGCATAGAAGGTCACATAATAAGAGAAAGAAGCATGGCCAACCAAGACTTAACTATTATATTGCATAAGAAGCCTATTTTCTTGTCTCACCTTGCAGATCTCCAGATTTTTCAAATCTCTTGGGTGATTTCTAATTTCTTAAAATCCCTGACCAACACAGTATAGCAATTATGAAAAATTTTAACCTACCAAGTTACTGGGAAAAGTACAGATATATTCACTGTGTACCTTGTGAATGAGGTCGAGAATTTCCTGGCTGCTTTCTAAGACACAAAACTGAAAAATGTGTCGCAGCATATCAGGCAGGATAGGTATAAGCCAAGATGAAGAGTTCTGAAAACAAAAACAATCAAAGCTATCACACATAATTTTTGGGTGTTAGCTTATGTGAAGAGCTATAAGTCAAATAAAAGAATTATTACCCTGAAAAGGCTATATAGCTTTAAAAGGTTCAACTAGTGATATTCTGACAAGATTTTAGAGCAGCAGTACCACATTTATTATATCCATGGCTTGGAGAAACTAAATGGCATCCAACTGCAGAGAAGCTGGAAAGTCAAATAATGATTAACAACACTAAATTTTGCTTCAAATAAATTTAAATCATCCTCCATATGGAAGCAAGCTCTAACCAGCAACATCTCCTTGGTTACATTATATATCTCTGCTTTGTCAGGGAAATTTGAAGGATGATCAGATTACTGCTGCTGTGCTGGATGATCAGAGTAGAATTTAAGTTCTATTGTACTCACCAATAATGCAAGTAAGGAATTGTAAGACGATATCCAACCTAAAAAATTCTACTTTGGGTCAGGGACCCTCTGAAAATCTGACGAAAACTATAGACACTCTTTTTCTTACAAAAATACACTTGTATACTCATACATATTTAGGTATAACATTTTGCTTTCAATTTAAGAGGGTTCAGGGATTCCCTTAAGCCTAGGTTTAGCACCTCAATCTAACGAATTTTTTACAATTCAAAAGCCCACCCAAATTAAGCAAATAGTTCTTAATCAAACACCTATTGTGTACCCAGGATTCTCAGAAAAGTAATCTCACATGTTGTTTATTGTTCAAATAATCACAGGCTCACTGAATAAGACTAACAGAAAAATTCTAGTAACTAGTTCACAGTACCTATCACTACACCCCACCATAATTTTTTTAAGCACAAAGAAAACATATCTATAACGTGTGAGTGTATATATATATACATATACATATATTATATATATATAATATATATATATAAATCTGAAAGCAACTGAAGAGAAATTTGAAAATTTTAACTGAAATTCCAGAAAGCCAGAAGTTCTAGGGATAATGCATAACTTAGAAAGCTACCTATAATTTTCTAGCCAATGGAAAACTAATGAATGACAAAGATAGGGTTATATGTTCTCAAAATAGTTTGGAAGAAGTTTAAAACAGACAACAAAATCATCAGCTGGGGGAGTCTACTCACTGATTTGCTATGTTTTAACTACTTTCCATTGAAAGGGAAAGGGAAGCTGGGAAGAAGAAAAGTTCTCTTTCTTTTCTCATCAGACAGAATTAAGGACAATCTTAACAGAATTCAAAAAGCTGTAATAGCAACCTGCAAATAATTTAATACTCCTCTTCCATAATCTCTTCTCACTTATGATTTTTCCCCATATTTACCAACTGTCTTAACCCACCCACAACCCAGTTATTGCAAATCCAAACAGTTGCTTGTATTGTAGATCCCAAAGCCACATCTATAAGGAAGATTGTTTCCCCTATATTTATAAACAATAAATATGATATAAATTGTATTAGTCTTCTCAAGCTACAAGCTTACTCTAATAAATTCTACTTTATAATTATTAAAAACAACCACGGGGAGGAAAGGATGAATAGGTAGAGCACATGGAGGGAGGGAAGGTTAGAAAAGCAATTCTGTATGATACAATAATGGTGAAGAGGTGCCATTATACATTTGTCAAAACCCACAGAATGAATGTACAACATCAAGAATGAAACCTAGTGTAAACTATGAACTGTGGTTGATAATGATGTGTCAGTGTTGGCTCATTAATTGTAATAAATGTATGACTCTGGTGTGGGATGCTGATGGTGGGAGAAGCCGTAAATAGGCACTCTGTACTTTCCATTTAATTTTGCTATGAGCCTAAAACTGCTCTAAGAAGTAAACTCAATAAATAAAATAGAGGAAAATAAAATTTTAAAAATAAAGACAAAACAAAAACAAAAATCCAACCAAATAAAAAAACCCACCCCAGAATACATAGATCAGCATCATCACAGGAATTAGTATTTGAAAAATGCAGATTCTCCATTAGCATAGCATAAAGTCTACTTAGTAGAAAATACAAGCCTGGGAAAACACGTGCAGGCCAAATCCAGTCCACCTGAACAACTGTGCAAGTATCTCCTTTTAGATATGGTTGCAAAAAGTAATATGGCTTTAGCTCACTATTAGCGCTATCATAAAGATCACAAGCTATAGTTTGGCCCATCCACGGTTTAATGTGTCTCTTGCAAAACTGAAAGTTGGCCCGCCTATTTTCATTAATTTTGCACCTGTCTTCCAGGAGGCATTGATTTAGGCAGATAACCTAGTACTGTTGCTTTGTCTTTATAGGTTTAACTGGATAGGTGAGGGAACAGGGCACAGTGGGAAGTATAGTATTTTCAGCCCTTTAGAGATTATCCACCTTGGGATTCCCTCCTCCTCAAATTTTTACTTTTTTTTTTTTTTTAAGATTTTATTGGGGAATTTGGGGGAGGGGAACAGCACTGGGGAATCGGGGAAGGGGAACAGACAAGTTGCTGTCGTTTTGTTCTTCAGTCTAGTTGTGGAGGACATTGCTTCACTGGCCCAAGTTGGCACCGTCATTGCACTCTTCCCAGGTGAGGCAGATCGGTAGCCTGAAGGCAGCCTCAACGCTGCACTGCGACTCAAGGCAGCCCAGCTCCAGGTTGAACTGTTGTTCACCATCTTAGCTGTAGAGGGCACAGTGTCACTGGCCCATGTGGGATCCGAAACTGGCAGCCCTGCTGCTCAGAGCTCATGCTCCCAAGCCAACTCTTAACCAACGAGCCACTCGGCCAGCCCCCCCTCAAATTTTTAAATAGTTAATGGACTTCTAGTATGCTACTAACTAGGGCTCCACTAATCAAAAATTTGTTCTCTAATCTAGGCAAAGTCTGGGAAGCTTTGGTGAATGTTTAGTATCAATCTAGCACAGTGTAAACTAAATACAGAAAAATTCCTACCACAGACTATTTAATTCACCAGGTTTAAATGAATTATAATCTGGACCACTATAACTCAAGTTATAAGTGAATTCATGTTTTAAGAAGGCTTTAAATTGTTTTATTTTGTTTGGTTTGTGTTAAATAATTAACACAATATTAGCACTTTATGTTAGTGCTAAATGTAGTTCCCATTTGTATAATTATTCAGGGAAATAACTGGCAGTTATTGTATTTACTGTGACACGAATGGGAAGTCTCTTCCTAGCTATTTTATTCAGATTCATGTTTCCTCCCTGTGTTCTGCCTTCCTGAAACTGAGAATAGGCGAGTTGGGGACAAACAGGAATAAGTTATCAGATGTTTCACTGTACCTGAAAATCAAGGTGAAACTTCTAGCCATCTATATACTCCCTCACACTCTACCCTCCAGCTAGACAAATTTCCTTTCACCACCTTTTACTGCCATCATGCTCTCTCCTGCTTCCAGAGTTTCACATTCTGTACCTTCCTCTGACTCTTACCCTGCTCTTCACCTCATTAAATTCCACTTATCCTTAAGGTCTCAGTTTAAACTTCATTTTTAGCAGGACACCTTCGTTGATCTTCACTCACCTCACTAGCTAGGGTCCAATGGCACCATCTACTTCCCCTACCAGATACTTACCTCATTACGTTATTAGAGCTTGTCTGTCTTCTCCCGTCTTGTTTAGTTTCCTGTTTTAAGCTGTATTGAAGGGGAGATACCTTGTGTCTTACTGATCAGTATTTAGAAAACTGTATGCACATAGTAGGCACTACAATATTTGTTGAATAAATCCATCTTATGGAAAATAGTCCAAAATCACAGGGAGTAATTGGTGATATACAAAAATTTCCCAAAATTGTAGTTGGCAATACATCCCTAACTGGCAAAACTGGCATCTTAGGTGGGGTGAGATCTTGCCAGTACCCTTTTGCTATGTCCCCCCTTTTATCTCTCCTCAAGCATTCCAACAAAATGGGTGAAATGTGGAAAAAAGCAGCAATCTGATCACCATTACCATGAACACCTGATTCCTGCTTGTAGGCAAATTAATAATCATTCTATCTCCACAGCAAATGAGTTAGGATTGCAGGGAAGAAGATCTGGAAAAAAGCTACTTATAAAAAGTGATGAATCACACAGAATTCTTTTGCTAATTTGATATGAAATCCTATTTTGGCCCACTGCCAAAAAAAAAAAAAAAAGGACAATTCTATATTTAGACAACTTATAATTACTTAGAAAATCAGTTAAGTATTTATACTTTGTTTCTTCCCCTTTTCATATCTTCATAAAATCTGACCAAACCTAATTATGCTAATGTTCTCTAAAGCCAAAGTCTTAGTCAAGTCTATTCTTTTGGTCTTTCTTTCCTTTGCTACATATGCATATGTTAAATTTTCTTACATTCTGGATTAAGTATGCCTCAGATTCCAACTCAGTCTCATGTATATGTTTGTGCTAAATATAAGTGTCATGCCAAAGCCTGCCTTTCAAATAAAAACCAATGCCGTATGTATTAGTAACTGAAATTTTGAAATGACTCAAAGTGGCTGTGATGCAAATGGAATGGAAAAATTGATCCAGTCAACAGAACAGGACTAAACAAGAGATTAATGTACAGGAGCATACCGTTCTATATCATGAAGTCAAGTTCTGGCTACAACAGTTAGTAGTTATCAACAGTAATAATCTAGATATTCCAGTAAAGTAGTTTACTGATAGACATACACATCCACAGAGATACTCTTGCATGTATGTATAAACAGTCACAGACTAAAGAGAGAATACAGAAAGAAAAAAGGAGTGGTAAATTCCTTCATTTTGATTGCCAAGCTGCTAGTTTAGCAAAAAAAGTTACACCTTGATTTTAAGTCATTACCAAATGAAACTAGTTTAGTTTCCTTAAGAGTTCTTATTTCATGATCCCCAAGAAGCCAATAAGGCAAATATTTTTACTTGTTAACATCACAAACAAAGGCACAGGGATGTGTCACAGCAAATTCCAATAGAAATAAGATTAATAAATTACTGTATTAACTGTAGTTCTATTAAAGGACATTTTAGAGAGGTACATGCCTGCATACATACTTATGATGGAATAAATTTTAAAATTCAGGATATCTTCCTGAATTTATAAAGTCTTATAATATCTTTATAAAGTCTTCTAGTTTCATAAAGCAAAACAAAAAACTACTAAAGATTAATACAGTACTTTTTTTTTTAATACAATACTTTCAAGGGAACAAAGGCATTAGTCTTTATAAGGTATTGATGCACTGAGCTACAGCCAAGCTGAGCCTCATCATATTACCCTGGAATTATTGACAAGAATAGGTTGAGAAGTAAGAAACTAAAACCAGAATTAGAGCTACTACTAATTTAGAGATGAAGTTTATTTTTTCACTTTGTACTTAACATGACTTCAGATTTAAAAGTGGGAAAGCAATTCAATAAGACACTTAAATCATTTTGTCTCCATGTAAAATCAAGAGCTGGAAGTTAGCCAGAATTAGATCCAAATCTGAGCTGAGCTGCTTACTGTGAGCTGTGTAGCTATGTGACCTTGGGAAAGTTTCTTAAGTTTTGATCATCAGTTCCCTCATCTGCAAAATAGGAATGGGAGTAGCCACCCTATGTAAAGTGCTTACCAGTTCACAGTGCCTAACAGTTCATAGCAAAAAGTAATCCCTCAATAATAGTTTGGACTATTATTACTACAATTCAGTATCATTCTTACATCCCAGAATATACATAAGATTTCCAAATTGTTCAAAAAGAATTCCCAGAAATAAAAGTGTTAATTATTGTTCTTACTATCTGTACTATTAGTTATTTATATTTGTATAGCATTAACACTTTCAAAGCACTTTCATATACATTATCTTATTTGGCCCATATGACTCTGAGAAAGGCTGGGTAGAGATTATTACCAGGCAGGTTAAATAAACTTGACCAAGGTCATAAAGTGAACAAATGGTAGAGCCAAGGTTAAAACCCTGATTCTCTGTTAAGTGATCTTTTCATTAAACCACTGAAGAGAAAAAAGTGACAGAAAGCAGCTAAGAAAAAATAAGGCAAGTTAAAGTAAGAGTAGATTTTATCATCACCACAGGTCTATCATCTCCAGTCCAAATCCCCTGGAGCCAAATGTGTTTTGAAATTCAGATAAGAAATCATGGATTTGGATTTCAAAAGAATTTGCACATAGCTATGAATCAATCAATAATAATGATCAGGCAATTAGTGGAAAGGAATATAATAACAGATAAAAGCATCAGACATAGTTTACTCTGATATCTTTGCAGAAAGCAAATAACATTGCTGGGATCACAAGATTAACAATAACCATTAAATAAATGTTTCACTGCATAATGACTTAAAGCAATGGTTCAGATAAAGAAAAATCAGTGAGTTGTAGAAGTTGGAATAGCTTTGTGGCACTAGAGATTTGACCTGTTCCCTGAAGGAAAAGATACAGAGAGAAAGAAAGGAAACTAATATTTAGGAAACGGGGGTGGGGAATAAGGGGTAGGTAATGAGTCATATGCAAAGATACCATGAACATAACATGATTACAGCTGGGATACAGGGATGGACTTGGGAAATTTTCTTGACTCCAGGTTACATATTAGGAAACAGTAGGGGGAAAGGCTGACAAGAGCCAAATAATAGAGGACCAAAAAAGACAGAAATTTAATTCTAATATAGTAAGCAGCGACAAATTACTAGCCAGTTTACAAGTAACTGAGGCTATGAGCCTTCAAATTATCCTGAGACTTAATTCAAATTCTGCCCTTATAGAAATACTATGACTGTGTTGAAACTAAAGATACAAAACCTGGTTACAAACCCTGAGAGGCAAACTACCAGGGAAAGGAAGGTAATATTTTAAAAAAATATATAGAAGGAAGAATGTGGGTAACTTAGAAAAGAGGTGATGTTCAAAGGGGAGAACAACTTATTCTTAATATTCTGATTATAAAAACTGGAAGCAAATAAAACATAATTATAACAAATGCCAATTACAGATGATGGATATATGAATGTTGTTTTAGAATTCCCTGACTTTTTTTCTATTTAAAAAATTTCCCAATATTAAAAAAAATGGAACTAGGTGGTAGTAGTAAAAAAAAGTTTTCTAAAAGGATTTGACTTTGAGCTATTATTTGAAAAAGCAGAATAGAAAAATCAAACAAAAATAATAAAGGATTTATGTAGGGGCCAAAAGCAAAATGTAGTGAGAGTGGGTGACAAGAGCCATGGCTATACTTTTCAATGGTGAGGATACTGGAGAGCAAGGCTCAGGGCAGTAACAAAGCACAAAATAATCTATTATGCATCAATATTAAGTTTTACTGACGGCAGGATTTTCAGTAAAGAGATACTCTGAAGATACAGGCTAGATAGAAACAAGGGGAAATTTTCCTAGTGATACCATTATAGGGAGAGGTAAGGGAAGAATAGTTTTTTTTTTAACCTTATCACCTGAATCCTCCTGATCTTTCAGCACTTAGTCTAGCCTTCAGTGCTGCTTCCTGACACCTTTCATATTCTGGTCTTTCATTATTTAACTCTGCATAGGTTATTAAACTTATCATGTAAGAGTCTTATTACAATCATACTGTAAAGTTTTCCAAAGAACCACATAGGATTTGTTTTTTTTAATTTCCCGAAACATCCTGCATAGAATTTTATACAAATTTATTTAACAAATATTGAGGGCTATGCGTAAGTGGTGACACGCCACAAATCACATACAAAGATAACAGAGTTTTGGTATAAAAAAAATAAAGAGTCATCATACAAAAAGACAGAGGAAACTTAATTTCATATTGCTAAATGAAAGAAACAAACCACTGCGCAGTACACCTGAAGCTGAATAACATTGAATGTCAACTATAATTTAATATATATAGTCACGGGATGTGGGGTACAGCATAGGGAATAGAGTCAATGGAATTGTAACAGCTGGAATTCTATACGATGTCAGAGGAGCAGTAGATTGGGGAGGGAGGTTATCACTTTGCGAGGGGTGTAAATGTCTAACTATATCATTGTTTTGTATACCTGAAACTAAAAAAAAGAAGAAACCAATCTGAAAAGACTGCATACGATACAACTCCAACTATATGACAATCTGGAAAAAGCAAAACTATGGAGACAATAAAAAGACCAGTGGTTGCTAAGGGTTTGGAGGGAGGAAAAGAGGGATATATAGGTGGGGCACAGGCATTTTTTAGGGCAGTAAAACTATTCTGTAGGATACTCGAATGGTGGATACCTATCATTGTACATTTGTCAAAATTCATAGAATCTACAATACAAAGAGCAAACTCTAATGTAAACTATGGACTTTAGTTAATAATAATGTACCAATATTGGTTCAAGTTTAACAAACATACTAAACTTTTACTATTAATAAAACATGTTAACTATAGGGGAAATCTTGGGGTGCATAATGGACAGGCATATGGGACCTATATACCTTTTGCTCAATGTTAAGCAAGTTTATTTAAAAAAAAAAAAAAAAACAATGCAAAGGGAAGAAATTTGATAACTTCAAGAGGCCTATCCAAGTGAATTTAAGAATTCAGTACTTATATATAAAACATTTAGGCAAAAACCACAGAAGTAAAACAAAAATGAAGTGAAATTTCACAACAACCTATGCCAGTTTTGTCATATTAGCCATGCCTGGTCAACTGAGGGTTATAAAACAGACCTGATAGTTTTTCCTCAGAAGATTCTGACTAGACAAAATAAAAAAGATAATACAAAATAAAATTTACACATGTTGATTCATAGAAGTGCAACCCAATATCATGCTGCAGATTAAACTAAATCTATGTGGAATATTCCTAATTCACACAGAAATGCATGGTTAGTGAACAGAAAAGAGACATTTATTCATACTATAATCTACAGTCTTTTTAAAGATCACTGTAGTACCTATAAATAACAAGATAGAATAAATTCTTTATGTTTCCCTAAATTCTAGTATTTTGTTTGACCTATAGGGTTATTTAAAAAATAGGAATGTGAAGCCTTTTATAAACAGCGCAAGGACTCCTAGGGTCATCACAGGTTCCATTCACTTGCACATTGATTATTTCCTGAATGATTTCTGTAGGCATTTCAATGTGTGACTGCTGAAGTATACTATCCTTGGAAATCCCATGCTCTTAAACCTGAGTAATCCTTAAGAGGAGGCAATGTCATCATCAGTCTTTAGAAGTACTGCAGAGCTTCAAATTCAGCTTTCTAACCTAGGGTAGGTTCTGTCAACCATCCAATTACTAACCATACAGAGCAAGCAAAGACAGAATAACAGGTCTTTGACAAGAAGGGACTATTCAATCTTTCATTCAACAAATATTTACTGAGAGCCTCCTATGTACTAAGAACTATTCCAACTGCTAGGAATATAACCTCGAGCAAATATTAAAATATTTCTGCCTTCATGGTGATTATATTCTTATGTGTCCACATGGCCACCATACCATTTCTACTAGGCCCAGCATGCTCCTGATCTTTGGATATATAGCAAGGGTAATCTGGTGGTCTGATTTATTTTATAAAATTTATATAAATTTCAAGATTACTATACACAGTTATTACTTCTTACCTGGTCCTGTGTTGACAATAACGTAAACAGAGTTTCCAATGCTGCTCTTCGAACAGAGGATATAGTGTGATGCAAAAAAGGCCAGACACGTGGAACTAAAACTGTGAGTGACTGCTGAATACTAATAAAGAAGATACAAGTTAATCTTACTCATTCTCAGTTGAAACTGTTGGTACATTATTTAAATATCATTTCCTTGTGATCTAGTATTTTTTTTGATGAATCAATTCCAAAAAGATAATACAATTTTCATATGAATATTCATTTAACATTATTTTCTTTATTTGAAGGTTTGTATAAACATCACTTCTTATATTAATTTACACATTTAGTCCACATGCACACACAGACAAAACAGACTCAAAATATGTAAAAGCATTATAACAAGGTCTTGTTAGTAGTATAACTGTTCATGCTCCAAATAACATGCTGCATTTTTTTTACATAAGCTGGAAAGTATCTGCCAAATATCACAATATATGAAGCAAATTTTCTAAAAAGGCAGTTTTAAAAAAAAGAAAAAAAGATAAAAAACTACATTATTTCACACTGAATTAACAGAATTTTCACTACATTCTTTCATTTTCTTACATTATGCAACTTTCTGACACTATCTACTTGGTAATTTTTTTTTTTAAATCCCAAGTCCTTTATTTAGGGCAGGTGTCAACAAACTAAGACCCACAGTCCAAATCCACTCTACCTGGTTTTTAAAATAAAGTTTTATTGGAACACAGGCATAGTTATTCCTTTATGTATTGTCTATGGCTGCTGTTGTACTACAATGGCAGAGCTGAGTAGTTCTGACGGAGATTACACAGCCCACAAAGCAACAAAATATCATCTACCTTCACAGAAAAACACGTGCCAACCGTAAGGGTACTCTTGGCATTTTGCAGCTTGAGAAGGGTTTTCACATAGATTAACTCATTTATTCCGTAGAGCTTTTATTATTAAAGTGTCTGAAAATTAGGAAATCTCATATATATACTACCACCTCAGTTTTTCTCCTCATTTGCTTTTTACAGGCACTTGTTTTGCTATTCCAACTTGTGGGCTGTCCCTACTAGCCTAAATTTAACATTAAAGTACTACCGGTAGGTCAGTATTATTTGAAACATTCTCTACATGTTTTTCATACATCTATGATTTTCATTAGAAATAGACTCATCTACAGACCCAGAAATTATTTATAATCAAAATCATATAAACATTTACTGAACACCCTCACTAGGTTACAAACAGCAATTAATTTTTCCATCTGTGATTTTGTTTTTAAAGCTGCATATCAATTTTTCCTTCTGTATCTTCAAGGATACATTTAATAGAAACAATAACATTCAGGAGCCAGTCTAAAAGGCAGGGAATACATTAATCAGCTGAACTTCATTTCACATATCAGGATAGGAAAATAGGTTACACTTAAAATTTTCCAATTTATGTTAGTGGCTTTACCCAATCTCTGCCTTTGGACATTGTATTACATTATTATGCATTCCCTTCCTGATGAGTAATTCTTGAAATCAAGAACAAGAGTTGAAATGAACATTACAAAGAAAAAGTTCACAGAGCAACAAATTTTGGAAAATGTAACGCTGATGTTCAACGATAACTCTGTTAACTACATGTCACTAAATTAGGCTAAAATTCTATATTCTGGGGGTAGAGGTAAAAATAATACGCAATGATTTATTTCTAAAGTCAACTATTATAGGAGGAATAAGATAAAGAATATAACTGAAGTAACGCAAGGGTAAAAGAATATGACCTTTTTAAGCTCCTGCCTCAAATGAGCTGGTCTCTAGACAGTAAAGAAGAAAAGGCCTCCTGAAAATAGTAGTCTTTGGCATTCCCAACTTACAGTAATGTTCTTAAAGGGGATAGATTAATGTACTTTTAGACTTAATTATCTGGAAATTTATATAAACACTTTTTACTTTATTCCACTAACTAGCAATAATTACCTGCATTGTTGGACCTGAGGATAAGTTAACAGGGATGAAAGAAGAGTCATAATACTATTTGTTGAAGCTGTTAGATCATCTAGTTCCAGAAGAGCATCCCATAATGTATTTATAATGAAGGGTACCTATAAGATCAGTTATCAAGAAAAGTTATTAATTTTATACGAAATTGTATCCCAGGAGTCACTACTGATTCAACAACACATATAATCCCAATGACCTTGGACAGTGCCAGTTGTGAGCAAAGTTAAGAAGTCATTATTTGCCTTTAACAAGCCCCTACCCCTCTTTTTTATGCCACTCACCATCTACTCTGACATTTCTCTTCCTAATCAGACTTATAAAGGGAGGAGAATTCAGGAAATAAGACAGTCAATACTTTATTTTATGTAAAACACTACTTTAAAAACAATACAGTGTAGACACACAAGACATGACCCTCTAAATAATTTTAATTTATTTAAAACAGTACTAATCATCACAAAAAGACACATTTCATATTAAAAATACTACTTGCTGCACTTCCAAATATACATGTTCTGGTTTTGATAACACAAAGGAATGTCAGATAGACCTTAAAAGATGCACTTCAAAAAATGAGGCCAGATTTAAAAACCAAAAGCCAAAACCAAAATCAAAACAAACAAAAATCTCATATGTCTAAATATCAGATGTAAAATAAAGAAGAAATGTTTGCTTTCTTCTCAGGGAGGTTCCCTACATATTGTGTATATGAAGGGGAAGCAGATTAACAGACACCATTCACTTTTCCCAAGGATAATGTATAATCGAGATCTCATACATCAGAGGGCTATCTGTCACAAAACAAATGGAGGATGAAGGAGAAAAAAGTACCCAATGTTTTTCCTAATACTCTACACTCCAAATGTAAATAAGCTCTAAAGGAAGAAAATGTAAAAATATTAAATTTACCTTTTGTGTCTGAAGATACACAAGGCTTTCTACTACAGGTACTAATGATGCTGCAGCAACAGCTCTGACATCATCATCAAGGTCCTGGAGTCCTTCAATTATTTTAGTTAAAACTTTAGGCAATAAAGTATTAATCACATCCTGTAAAACAGTACATCAAAATAGATTTTCTGTAGTACAAATACTGTGCATAAACATTTTTTATTAAGTTTGCCATATGAAAACATAAATTCTAATCTTTATTTAAAAAGAATCACATAAGCATAAAAGAAAAATAACATCAATAGATGCCTATATAGTTAATCCTATTTGAAAAAGACTACAGCAGTATCACGTACGTTATTATTCAGTATGACTTAAAACGTCACAACACGTTCTCCAAGTAAGACTACAAATCCCTGTGTGAACACACACACAAATATATCCCGGTACTAGATCCTTAACTTCTATTTCTCATTTAAGCCCCTGCCAACCAAAAGGGCATGAGAGAAGAGAAAAGAGAAAGCTGCCCCTTTCTGCTTCTCATTATTCCAATCTACTCTCTTTTCAAGTTCTCCAGTAAGAGCCTGCCTCCAGAGGCTACTCCTGTGATCACACAATGGAATCTCACCTGGAATTGGTCTTGCTAAAAAATAGGAACAGGTTTCCAAACCTAATTAATCATCTTTTGACTTGTACTTAAATTCTTATTAGCATCACCTATCTCTATGACACTACCTCAAGAAGGCAAATCTTCAAGGGCTGGCTTATCTGTAACACTAAGAATCTAGGGCTATTTCATATTATTAATGAAAATAAACTAAGGGGGAAAACTCTCCCACATATGCTTTAAAAACTGAAGTGTTTACCTGACGCACAGCCAAAGCATATTTTATTCCCAGTAGACCACCATGTCTAACTTCCCATTGTTCTTGTGTGAGTAACTTAAGCAGCACATCCACAGTCTTATGAACTCCTGTTTCATTCATGTGTTTTAACACCACACCCAATGTTTGGGCACAAGTTTCACGAACTGGTGCCACAACCTACAAATGAGAAAGGAAGAAAACTCCTATTTGCAAAAAACTTATTTTGTTCAATCTGAAATTTGATTGGGCAAAGTCTCCCTTAGGTGATACTTACCTCATCAGAAACAAAGTCTCCAAATCTGTCTAACGCAAAAACACAAAGGAGTCTAATAACCAAGTCTTCCAACCACTCTTGATGCTGCTGAATCATCTGTTAAACAATAATTTTTTAGTAACAAAGATCACACTTTGTATTAGGGGTTGGAGAAACATATTAAGTCCAAAACAAAAACTAAAATATTGGGATGGGCTATTTTAGCTGTAGAAACAATAACCAAAATATATTAAAGTCCCAACTGCTATCTTTAATATTAACCACATCCTTTGATTATTAATTAGATTCATACATACTACACCAAAATCTTTAAAATTCATGAATTCTATTATGTTACTTGAGTTCCAAGAGAAATCAAGAAACTACTTAAGGTTGCTCTAATGCCAATTACATCTGTCATTTACCTATTATCTATCCTATTACCAATGTCTCCATTGCTCACTGATCTCTAACCTATCCTTTTATACATCTTAATCTCCTTTCCAATCCATTATATCCTGTTCACATACTTTTGCTTATACATAGTATTTTTCAACTCAATGTGTCTGAATATATCTTCGCCCTGAACTCACTCTTCGTGTCTATAAACAGACTTCTTCCTAATCTTTTTTTTTGACTGAGCCATCCTGCCATCTGTTGGCAGCTCAGCTCGGGCCAGGACTCGAACCGCTGCTGCTCGGAGCTCACATTCTTGCGCGAGCTCTTAACCAACTGAGCAACTCGGCTGGCCTCCTTCTTAATCTTTTTACTTTTTTCTTCATAATCACTTTTCCTTGTTTCTTCTTATTTACCTCTCATTTCTATTTCATGGCACATGCTCTGTTACTTCTCTGTCTTGGAAAAAGAGACCAATAACTGAAACTTGGTGATAACTGCTGCTTTACTACTTACCTCTTCTAAAGTGCTATCTCCCATTTTACCACCGCTTTTACCATGAGCTTTAAGGATTTCCCTAAGGCCAGTGCCTGCGCCATGTCGAACCTAAAAAGAACCAAGAAGCAGATATCAGAGGTTAAATGCTTAAGAAACTGAGTTTAACTTTTCTTCAATTTGAAAAAGGAATTATTAGATTTTTAAGAAGTCAGAATAAACTAAGTAGCACTTCACAAGAATGTGTTTTTCTTCTATTATCCAAGAAGAATTACATACATGAATTTTACAATTTTGCTTATGTGGAAATTTTTTTTAATGAAGCTACGAAAAATAGCTATTCTAAAATACTCCTGAGATATTATCCATTTGGCTGTCCCTCCTCTACTGTCTACTTGCATTTAGCATGTGACAGTGCTGTGATAAGCAAAGGAGCAGAAAGACAGTATCATATATTGTTCTTTACAGCCCCAACATCAATATTTTACAAATATATGCATCAAAGCTAAAGTTCTAAAGCTTCCAGTGTTAAGTGTCAAAGAAAGACAATTCAAATAAAATATCTTATGACTAATGCTTCACCAAAGCCCTGTAGCCTTCTGAAGTATCATCTGGAAAGGAGGAAACAGGCCACTGACATTGCACCCACTTATTCAAGACCCCATGTGAGTTAAGACTTGAGCAGCTTTAAACAGAAGTACATCAAGGAACAGAAAGGCTGTTAAAAGGTATTCCAAACTAGTGTTTTTTCAGTTACTCAAAGGCCAAGCGAAGTGGGACAAAATAGTTTGAGACTACCAACTCTCAACTTCAACCAGAGGAACTTCACTTTCTTCTCTTTTACATAATGGGACCTGTTAAAAGGTTTTCTTTGAAGAAATATTTCTGAGGCCAAAAAGCTGGTGTGGAAAATAATGCTTTTAATCAAAACTGTCTACTTCCAAAGGAAACTTCTGTCTGGGAGAGATATGCAAGTCTTTATATTACAGCTAAAAGAATGGAAAGAAATGAACAATTCACTAAATAAATACAACAAAAATGGTATGAAAGGTGAAAATCAGTCTAAAATTTTCTACTTAGAAGGTGAGTGATATTAAGTACCTTGACCAGAGGTCCTAAGGGACACAAGGGAAGAATAAGGACCATGAAAAAATAGGTTGTGCCTGAGATGGTTCCTTCCCTTTGTTAGCAAATAAAATAAAGCTATCATTGCTAAAAAATAAAAGTCACCATTTAAAAAGTAAATAAGGATAATGTGAACCACAATGAAGATAAGACTATCTATTATTTGAACAAATGTTTTGCCATATTCAGCTTATATGGTTTATTTAAAATTTCATGTATCAAATAATGAAGATTAACCACTTAATTTTTGAGCAAAATATATCTTTCTACTCTTATTGATGAATGTAAAAAAGGTCAATGAATTCTTGCCGTTCAAATTAGAGAGAAATTGTAATGAAGAAATCGTACCTCCCAGGAGGGATTAAAAAGGTCATTGCAAAGTTCTTCACAAAAGCTTTCCAAAGGCCATTCATTTGTCTGAATAAGAAAAACAAAATTACTACTAATTCAAAAGGTCTATTTTATGCTAACAGTTTACTTAATTTTAAAAAGTGTACTTATTTGTAAGTCTAGTAATAATAGTCAGGTTTTTCAAATGTTAAATAAAGTTTTTACTGATGAAGTAAAGATACTTATAAGATTTTAAATAAAATTTCTTTCAATTGGCAGATTATTAAATACTGTCTACAACATAGATTATTAAATACTATCTCTTAACACATTAGTATGAAAAAATTATAAATAATTTCAAAGGACACATTAGGACATTTCAATAGTACCTCTTCAATTAAGGAAGAACTGTCTGGAATATTATCAATCAAGACTTTGGAATCATTTGCAGGCTGATTAATAACAACATTTGCTATTTTTCGTCTCTTTTCTTCTGGTTCCCCATCAGTGCTATCATTGCTAAAAAACAAAGAGTCACCATTTAAAAAGTGAATAAAGATAATCTGAACCACAATGAATGTAAGCGAATCCATTATTTGAACACGTTTAGCCATATTTGGCTTACATGGTTTATTTAAAATGTCATGTATCAAATAATTAAGATTAACCATTTAATTTTTGAGCAAAATATATCTTACTCCTCTTATTGATGAATGTAAAATAGGTCAATGAATTCTTGCTTTCAAATTAGATCTCAAATTTAACAAGACTTTTTTTCTTCCTCTCTACAATGAACTC